CGAGCAGGGAGCCCGATGCGGGACTCGATCCAGGGACTCCAGGATCATGACCTGAGCCGAAGGCAGTCGCTTAACCAACTGAGCCACCCAGGTGCCCAAAATACAAGTTATTTTTAACTAAGATGTTTTTACCAAATATTTCTGGCCAGACCATTAAATAGTGAGATGTAAATGAGGAGATTCTATTAATTCTGAGACCGTTTCCTTTCCTCTGCCACCAGAAATGCTTCTTAGATTACAAGTAAACAATTATAAGATATTACCTTATAAGCAAGCAGAATTGCCTTAAATTCAACTGTAACCACACTATGATTTACCAGGCAAAACTCGCTCAAAATATAACACTGATATCAAATAGAGAAGAGAATCAAGTGCCAGAATGAAGAAAGTAACCATCATTATGTATGACTCTCCAGATGGACTGGGAAAAATAACACCAATCAGGTAATAATCCATGTGAAAAATCTGAGATTAAAAAGAATAAAATAACAGAATACGAACCTATAAGGCTAAAGGGTTTTTTTTTATTAAATGGTGCTGCCTAGAAAAATATAGTTCATATTTTAATAGCTTTTTCTTCAAAAATGCACAGTGAAGTTGTTAGTAGTAGTGTTGCTTTCTACAAATAAAATTATTGTCATGAAAGTGGGAAATGCTACCTGAGAAAGTAAAACAATTGAAGAACAGAAACTTAACTGACTAATTGATTACCACATAAGTTTTAAAGAAGGGAATATAGAGAAGTGGTCAAGGAGCCAAAAATAACATATTGTAGGAAGAGAAACTAAGAGCAGGCAGTGAAACTGGAGGACATATAAAGGAAATATAAAAATGCTAAGGATAAGATATTGTAGAAACACTCAAATATTAAATAAGTATGGAAAACTTGAAGAGATTCATTTTAAAGATAAGAAAGATAATAGTTCACATTCACATAGCATGTGTCAGGAACTGCTCTAGCATTATGTGTAGAGAATAATACAGTCAGCCCTCCCGTTTACCCCCATTGAGGTGATTTCTACTAACACATCCCCATTCTACGAAGAAGAAAGGAAGGCTACAGAAGTCAAGTCTGCCCAAGTTTACCCAGCTGGTACGTGGGCAGAGCTGAGACTGATTCATGCATTATTACTTATTCACTATTACTCATATCTCCACGTTTTACTGCCTCTTCAAAGGGGACATAAATCAGACAAACTGAGGGGTCAGATAATGGGCAATTATTTTTCTTCTTTAAATTTTCTAGGATTTTATAAATGATCTATCTGCTTTGCTTATTACTTTGATGATAATTCACAAGAGAATGCAGCAGAACTTCTTAAAATACAAGGTGATTGATCACTAAGTTTCATGAAGTTATCAAACTTTTCAAAATTTTGAAAATCTAATAAATAAAAAAATCATAAAATCATTGTGCTCTTTACCTGGGCCATGCCAGCAGTGAAGGCAAAGGGGCTAAAAAGACCTAAAGTCCATCCCAAAGATGAAGGAAGTTGTCTGTACAATACAGTGAATCCCAGACATCCCCAAAATACAGTGAAGAGAAACCCAACCAAACCAGTAAGCATAGGTTCCCTTATCAGCACACTCAGGAGGAAAGCCAATGCTATCTGAAGGAAGAAAGAAGAGTTCCAAATGGTATGTTTGTCCCTTTGAGAATCATTTTTAGCAATAATAATCAATTTCTCACATTGTCAAAAACTTTCTCAAAACATACAGAAAACAAGATATCAAATTAGTGACTATGCCATACCGATATCATAAAGAAACATCATTTACTCATATATCTGAGATGTGAAACAAATTAAGAGATACATTTTACCAACTCACCAAAGACAGGCCATATAAGACAAAGAGTGTGAATATCACCATGAAGCCAACAATTACTACAATTTGGATAGATGTTATGATCCGAGCCATAAAAATCGACAGGATAAATATGAAGCCAGCATACATTAATCCCCAGGAGAGCCTATGGTAGAAACAAAGTTTTACTTCAGAATGTCACACACAGGTAAATGTTTGGAGAGGCAATATGCACAACAGTTATGAGTACAAGTTCTGAAAGCAAACACAACAGAGTCAAATTTACTATAAAACTGTGGCTTTACACTTTCTAGCCATGAGGTCATAGGTAGGACTTTTCCTTTCTCACCCTCATCTATGAATTGGAATTAATTGTGGTAGTTACTTCATATGGTTGTTTTAAGATACTGTGTATGAACTCTTTAGCTGAGCTGTTATTATAATTACTTTACAATTGCTGAATTTAAAAATTCATATTACACATAATCTGATTCTTTCAGTCAAGTGACTAAATATGAAATGGAAATATAATAATCTCATCTTTAAACTCTCTTATACTAAATTCTTTTTGGTATAACATTTTTCTTAACGTTTAATTGAAAGCTCTCTGATATAAGGAAAGCTCATTTCATTTTTTATCCTTATATGGCTTTTGACATTAACCATTCAGGGTATTGTTTTTAGAAATTAGAATACTACAGTGCAGCTAGAAAGCACAAAACTAAAGGAAAGCAAAAGGTGTCCTGGGAGTTAACAGCTGTATAACAGGGATCCTGCGTCACAGTGGTCAAAGCATGGTTGTTTTTGAAAATTTGAGGGAATAGATGGAAAGATATGTTTAAACAGGAAAATGGCTCTCACTTTTAAAAACTGACCTTTCACGAACACACTAATAAATTGCCAAGTACCCTCTAAATTTACACAGGGCTTTCAGCTCAAGTGTGGAATTTTGTACAGATGATGCATTTGGAATCCTTTTATATCATTTTGTGCAGTACATAAATTGTTTTACTATCACATGTAAATAGCATTTTCATGTATACAAACAGTAAGCTTAAATGATTATAATTTTCCTAGTAAGGAGATTCCTCAAAAAATTACAAATAGAACTACTAAATGATCTAGCAATTCTACTTCTGGGTATTTTTTTTTTTTTTAAGATTGTATTTATTTCTTTGAGACAGAGGGAGCGAAAGTGGGGAGGAGCAGAGGGGGAGGGAGAAAGGATCTGAGGTGGACTCCACACTGAGCGGGAAGCCCAACGCAGGGCTTGATCTCACCACCACCGTGAGATCATGACCTGAGCGGAAACCAAGAGATGGATGCTTAACCGACCATGCCAACCAGGTACCCCTCTACTTCTGGGTATTTATCTGAAAGAAATTAAAACCCTAATTCAAAAAGATAAATGCCCCCCTATGTTTATTGCAGCATTATTTACAATAGCCAAGACATGGAAGCAACTTAAGCGTCCATCAATGGATGAAAAGATAAAAAAAAAAGTGATAGATATTGATACACACACAATGGAATAGTAATTCAGCCACAAAAAAGAAGGAAATCTTGCTATTTGCAATAACAAGGATGGAACTTGAGGGCATTTGCTAAGTTAAAATAGACAAAGATTAATATCATATAATCTCACTTATACACAGAATCTGAAATAAACAAACAAACTCATAGATACAGAGAACAGTTTGGTCGTTGCCAGAGGCGGGGGTGGGGAGAAGGCGAAATGGGTGAAGGTGATTAAAAAGCACAAACAAGTTATAAAATAAAACATGGGAATGTAATGTGCAGCACAGTGACTGTAGTTAATAATATTGTATTATCTTTTTGAAAGTTGTTAAGAGAGCGGATCTTCAAAGTTCTCATCACAAGAAAAGAATTAAAAATCTGTGTGGATGATAGATGTTAGCTAGATTATTGTGATCATTTCACAATATATACAAATATTGAATCTTTATGTTTTTCACCTGAAACTAATATAATATTATATATCAATTATATCCCAATAAAAAAAGATCATGGTTTTCCTCTCTCATGCTCTCATTCAATTTGAAATTTTAAAAATCTTTTACAAAACTAAACACCTAACAATCTTATTCAATTAATTTTTTGAAGCTAGGGTAAATCTTTCATATATTAAAACATCTACTTCTATTAATTAATAATAATTTTTCAAAAGAGCTGGTCATAGATTGAAGTAAAGAAAGCATGAAGTATGAAGATTAGTTAAGGAGAAGAAAAGAAGAAAAATGGACTATTATGTTCAATGAATTAATAAGAATATTAGACGTATGTAAATTCCAATATATGTATGAAAACATAAACCAAGTCAAATACAATTATTTTCTATGCTTTTGTCATTTATACATTGCTGGTTGGAATATAAAATGGTCTATCTACTCTGGAAACCAGTTCAACAGTTTCTTATAAAACTAAACCACCATACAACCCAGAAATTATACCATTGGGCATTTACCTCAGAGAAATGAAAACTTATGTTAATAAGAATACCTGGACATCAATGTTCACAGTAGCTTTATTTGTAATATCCCAAACTGGAAACAACTCCAACCTCTTTCAAAGGTTGAACAACTAATCAAACAGAGATATTGCTACCATGGAACAGTTCTTAGCAATAAAAAGCAGCAAACTACTGATAAATACAAACTTGGATGAAGTGCCAGGAAATTGTACTTAGTGGGGGGGGGGGGGAAGCCCCAAAGGTTATGTGATTCCATTTATACAGCATTCTTGAAATGTCAAAATTATAGAAATGGTGAAGAGATTGGTGGTTTGCAGGGGTTAGAAATGGGGGATAAGGAAGAGAGTTGATGGAATCTATAATGATGGAACAATGGAACTGTCCTGTATCTTAACTGTATCAACGTCCACAGTGAGATTGTGATACCATATGACAGTTCTGCAGATGTTATCATTGGGGGAAACTGGATAAAGTGTACATGCAATCTAGTTCTTTTTTTTTTTTTTTTTTTACATGCAATCTAGTTCTTAAAACGGAGTATGTATCTACCCAAAATAAAAAATGTTTTATTAAAAAAATTGTAGTTACCTGAAAAGCTAAGACTAAATGATGTTTTAAAAGGAGAAAGAGTGGTCTGTACCATGTCAGTAACATTCAGTAAACTATAAACAACTGGGAGGATTGGGAGAGCACATGGGAAAAAAAGTACTTTAACTGCTTTCAGTTATATTGAAATAATAGTATTGTTAGACATATGTATATTTCTGGATAAAACAAGTGAGTAACAGGGCGCCTGAGTGGCTCAGTTGGTTAAGTGACTGCCTTCGGCTCAGGTCATGATCCTGGAGTCCCAGGATCAAGTCCCACATCGGGCTCCCTGCTCAGCAGGGGGTCTGCTTCTCCCTCTGCCCTCTTCCCTCTCGTGCTCTCTGTCTCTCATTCTCTCTCTCAAATAAATAAATAAATAAATAAAATCTTCAAAAAAAAAAAAAAACAAGTGAGTAACAGGGATGTTCTAATTCTCAGATTCTCTGTATCTCTCCTGGAGAACCAGAATTCTCAGTACATAGGAAAGGAAATATAGTTGTAATATGGGGGAGGCTACGTAAAACTCTATAGTTCTATATTTGAATTATAAATTATAAATATCAGTGTGAATTCATAAGGCATTGATCTTTAGTATGTGTATGTTATTCTGTATACAAAATGTAGAAAATATATCATGATTCTATCTCTGCTATTGAAAAAGGCTAGAAACAATGACCAATCCAATATCAAAAAATATTTCTAGTATACAATGCTCTTGAAATACTTTTTCTAACTAAAAGAAATCTGGCCACACAAAATAGCAAGGAATCTATTTTTTTCAAAACCCACTTAGAATCTTGTAAAAAAGAATCACAAACCAACCTTCAGCTCCCTTTGACCAAAGATGGGACAATCTGAGCTTCAGTAAGAATAATAATTACAATGGCTTGAAACATATTAGACATGTTTAGATCCATGAGTTTATAATGGTATTTTAAAAAATCAGTCATCTTTGAAGAACGTTAGGCAAACACTTAATTATCTAATAAGGAAAAAGTTAAGCAAAAAATTCTGTTTTCAATCATTTATCTGTTTTCCTGTTCCACCCTCTTAAAAAAATAGTTTGCCCCAATAGGAGCTAATCATAATTCATGTATATTTAAACCAAATTCTCTTAACTGTTTCAGTTCTATGAAACAGAACTGTTTCTGTTCTGAACTGAAATTGCTAGAATTTCATATAACAGAAATATATAGTTGGAAAGTGATTATTATAAATAATTCCCATGATCTATTCACAATGTTTTATATAAGAAATCACTCTTGAGATCCTTTGAAAATTCTGCATTCTTTTGTTGTTGTTGAAAATTGAAAATTCTGCATTCTTGAGCCTTATTTGGGTTAAGTAGATTATAGCAAAATTTGTGTGCAATCAGGAAGAAAGTGGAAGAGGGTAAAATATACAAGAACTGTGGGGACTTTATAAGAAATATATCAGTTTTACCCCAGTTATTGGGGTATTTTCCTCAAAGTTAAATTGTCAAAGCCACACTTTTTTATGCGTATTATTTCATTTTAAAAATCTCTTTTCCTTGTATTTGAAGACACTCTCCCCAACAGCATGCAATATTAACTATTTTTTAAAAATCTCCAGCCAATGTAAACCCTGCTAACTTGGACAGTTCTCTATCAGGAAAACTTTCGAGCTGTGTTTTTTCTCAATTTGAGGTACTTAGCAAATTGGATCCAAATGTAATGTTTATCTCAAAAACACTGAAGACAATATGGTATGCATTTCTGTTGGCACATTTCACAAACAGCTTTTTCTACCAAGGGAAAAATATCACCTTGTCACTAATTTCATTTTATTCATCTTTTTGAGTTATGTAGCACAGTGTCTGAAAGAAAGGGATTTCTTAGGCAAAAATCTTAACTTTTCTGTGCCTTGGTTTTCTTGTGAAATAATAGCACTATAAACTGTGAGTGGTCCCTGGAATACAGTAAGTTCAGTGTTTGCTACTATTACTGTTATTATTGTATACTCTCTCAAAGTCTATGGGGAAAGGGACAATAGATAAATGGAGAGACAGATTCATTTTACTCTGTCTTGTGCCTTACAAGCAGCAACACCATCTGTGCTAAGCAGATTAAAGATACTGTCTCATCCAATCCTTAGTCTTACCCAAAGAACATCTTTATTGACTAACTGCATGAATTGGCTTTAACAACATTATGGCAAATTAGTTTAATGTTCAAATTTTTCAATCCCTTCTTCCCTGCTTCCCCTCCATGAAGGGATAGAATTATCCAGATCACTGATCCTGGGCTTGGCTCTTTGACTTGCTTTGGCTTTATGGTGGGCAGAATATACTTTTTTGCCCCTTGACTTTGGATTTGTCCACATGACTTACTTTAACCGATGGGATTTTATCAAATGTGGCTTGAGAAGGAGCTTGAAATGTGTGGTGCAGCGGGACTTGCCCTCATGCACTTCTGTGACTGAAGGAGAAGAATGCGTCCAGGTATCCTGCTGACCGACAGGGGATTAAACCACACGGGGCAGGCTTAATGCAACCTATAACTTGGATCCAAGCCCAACCAAGCCCAGACTAGATCCGCCAGACTCCAGTCACGCCACAGACAAATGAGAAGGAATAAATGAGTGTTGTTTGAAGTTACTGGGTTTGGGGTGGTGTTTTATGCAGCATCTTTCTGGCAACAGCTAACAGATACAAGCACCATATTTCTATTCTTCAATTCAAGGAAACGTAAGCACAATGCTTACTTCATTTCTACCGCCAGCATCTTAAAATGTAATACGGGTAAGCTAATTAAATTGAATGCATGCAAAAAACAAACCCCTGAAAGCATCGAATTTCTTTTATAATCTAATGGGTTTCTTTGTTTATTAATGTGTGATACACAGGCAAGAAAGCAACTTAACTCACCAGAATGCTGACTCTCGGGAGACCCAACACTGTCATCAGTTTCTTAAACTTTTTTCTTTCCCGTGTAACATTTAATGAAGGGAGATACACAACATGGGAGAAATAAACCATACAAATAAAAGTAAACCATGTATTTATGATTTCTCCGTTAGAAATGAAAGGCAGCATCCTCATATTGATTCCAATAACTGAAGTCACAGAATGATTTATTGTGACCTAAATTGGGATGTTAAACAAATTCATTATATTAACTATAGAAAAATATATTAGAAAACCATACACATTTTGTTTCATTTTCAGTACTTATATATTTCATCATTTAAAAATATGGTGAACTATTAACATCATTAGAACATTCTTTTTTGGGGGTGTTAATTCTACCTCTTTTTTTTTTATGTTATGTTAATCGCCATACATTGCATCATTAGTTTTTGATGTGGTGATCCATGATTCATGGTTTGCATATAATACCCAGTGCTCCATGCAGAACGTGCCCTCTTTGATACCCATCACCAGGCTAACCCATCCTCCCACCCCCCTCCCCTCTAAAACCCTGTTTGTTTCTCAGAGTCCATTGTCTCTCATGGTTCATCTCCCCCATTAGAACATTCTTGATGACTTCTGGTATTAGTAATGTTGACATTACTTATAAGAGTCATTTAAAAAATTACTAGATGTCTGTCATGCCCAATATACTGTGATGGGTGGTGGAGAGATAGCAGTGATCCACAGGAACACTCCTCACTCTCATGGAGCTTTACATCTCATGGTGGAGCAGAGAAGGAAGGCGAGACATCAAACAACCCACTGCACAATCAATAGTTTGATTATCATTGATGAACTGCATTAAAGGAGAAGTAGAGGGTGTTCTGAGAACAAAAATAGGGAAGGCTTCCCTAAAGAAATGACATTTATTTATACAGTGATCTTACCTAAACAAAGCTTGGGCAGGGAGGGAAGTTGAGGATGGAGAAGAAAAATCTGAGCAGAGGAAACAGCATTTGCAAAGGAAGGAAGGGGTACAGTGCATTGGAGGCACAGGAAGGAGGTCCTTGAAGCAAAACTGACAGGGGGAGAGGGAGGGAGGAAAGGAGGGAGAGAGAGCAGGCTAGAGAAATAAACTACTCCCACAGTTCAGGCAAAAGATGGTAATGGCCTGGACTAGTGCTGGTGGCAGAGTTGAGAAGCACGTGGATTTCAGTTTAGGATTAACAGGGCTGGATGAGAGATTGGAGGTAATGGGTAAGGCAGAGGAAATTTTCTCTGGTAATTCCTTAGTTTTTAATTAACTGATCACCTAGGTGGGTAGCCTTAGCATTCACTAAGATAGGAACATTTTTAAAAGACTCAGCCACATGAAGATGCAAAAACCACATGAAGATAAAAACACCCACATTCAGGTTTTCTTAATTTTTTTTTTTTAAGATTTTTATTTATTTGACAGAGAGAGACACAGCGAGAGAGGGAACACAAGCAGGGGGAGTGGGAGAGGGAGAAGCAGGCTTCCCGCGGAGCAGGGAGCCCGATGCGGGGCTCGATCCCAGGACTCTGGGATCATGACCTGAGCCGAAGGCAGACGCTTAACGACTGAGTCACCCAGGCGCCCCCCACCCACATTCAGTTTTGAACATACTAGTTTAAATCGTTTAGGAAGCATCAAAGTAAAGACATTCAGCAAATAGTCAGATACATGGAACTACGGCAGAGGTTAGCAAACTACAGTCCATGGACAAAATCTAGTCCACCACCTGCCTTTGTAAATAAAGTTTTTATTGGAATAAAGCCATACTCATTTCTTTATGTACTGTCTATGGTTTCTTTCATGTTACAACAGCTGAGTTGAATAGGTACCATAAAAAAGTTTGGCCCCCGGAGCCTACAATATTTATTACCTGGCCCCTTACAGAACAAGTTTGCTGGTCTACAAGTTGAAGTGGGGTTCTTAGAGTTATCAGCATGTAAATTGTAATTAAAGTTATGGAAATAAATAACATTGTTTAGAGAAAGTATATAGGATGGGGAAAGATGCCTAGGTTAGAAACTTGTGGAACTACAGATTTAAAGAAGCATGAGTGTGAAGCTGGATAAGGTGGCAAGAAGACTGAGAAGGAAAGGCTAGAAAAGTGCATGAAAATCAGGTGAAGGCTACATTACTTAGTTAAAAGGTCAAGTAAAATAAGGAATGAAAAATGTCAGTTGTTAATTGACATGGGAGTGGTTACCGACCTCAGAAAAAGCCATTTGGGTGGTGTGGATGGGGACAGAAATAGTTCTGAGTTGAATGGAGCCTAAGTGAAGGCAACCCTTTCAAGAAACTTAGCTGTGGAGGGAGCTAAAGTACTTGCCTGAGAAGGAAAGAAGGAAAGGTCCTGATAATATGTGAGGAAATCAATACTTTTCAATCCCAAAGAGAAGAATCTAGTTGAAAGGAGAAAATTGAAAAAGGAGGAGACAGAAGGGAAGATCCATTGTGCAACCTTACTAATAATGTTGGAAGGAACAGGATCCAGCCTGTGAATTGATGAAGGACATGAGATGAGGCAGAAAGAAAAGGATGGGTGTAGTAAGTAGTAGGTCTGTAATAGTTTAGCAGGGTTTGTGTTGGGAAGTGGGGATATTCCCATCAGTTTCTTCTTTCTCTGAGAATAAGAGGCAGAGCATAATCTCCTAAGAGTGCAGGGGCAAAGAGGAGGAAGAGGTAGAGACTGAAGATACAGAGAAAATACAGAAAGTATAAAATAGATTACTTAAGTAAGGCACTTACTTCTATAATTGCAGCATTAATTGCAGTTTGAAATGCCACAAACCCATTTTGCCAGTATCTTGTCATGAAACAAAAAATTTTATCATCAGAATCCCAACAGTGTTCTTTAAGGAAGGAGAAAAACGTGCCCGTCATTATACAGTGGAATCAATCAATGGAATTAAAACCTTAACTTTGACTCTAAAGTGGAAATATCTACATGCCTGTTCAGAGCCCAGGATTATACAATCTAGAGCATTTTTAAAGCATTCTGCAAAACTGGAAGAAAGAAGCCTATTATTGAATGTTGGCCAAAAGACTGATCACTAAATTGAGGAATAAAAAGTATATTACTTCGTTTCTTGACTTTATTAATGTTTCTATCAGTCATTCCCAACTGGGGATTTGATAAAGTAGCAAAAAAGATTGAATCAATTCTTATATAGTTACCTGCGTGTTCAGAGTTTTCTTCCATATTTGGGATTTCATATCCCCAAATAAACTTCAGCTGATATGAAAAAGTATCATTAAACACAATTCCCACCATTTCATGCTGGTTTTCTGAAAGTACCATATCCATCATTTCTTTATCAGCAATCCTCATGATTGTTCTTCCTGTCATGTATGAAAAAAATCAATAATCATATCAACTCATCACTAGAGAACATAAAATCAAGTTGCAATTATTTAGGTTTATTGGTGTCACACACTATCCCTAAGTAGGTGTCTCTAAATTAGGTACTGAAAGTCTATTCTATTGTCTTAGGCTCAATGTAAATATGTGAAAAGACATAAATGACATGTCTTTTAAAAACCATTTGCAGGGGCGCCTGGGTGGCTCAGTCAGTTGAGCGTACGACTCTTGGTTTCAGCTCAGGTCATGATCTCAGGGTCGTGAGATCGAGCCCCACATCGGGCCCTGTGCTCCGTGGGAAGACTGCTTGAGATTCTGTCTCTCCCTCTCCCTCTGCCCCTCCCCCGCTCTAAAATCAATCTTTTAAAAAAACCCATTTGCAGCATTTTTTTAGTGTGATCGCATTTTAGTAAAGAAACTGAATCTGTGTGCCTATATACATATATGAAAATATATGTCTATATATGTGACCAGGTGTACATATTATCCTAAAAAGATACAGACAAATTTAAATGGGAGGTATGGTAGGGAGGAAGGTGTGGCTAGGATAAAAGCAAAAGCTCTCTCTTTTCTTTTTTCTTCAGTTTTTATTGCTTAGCTTTTTTTAGGGTGGCTATTACCTTGGTGATTAAAGTAATTAAAAAATTAAAAAGAAAAAATATTTAAAATAATCAATGGAAATACTTAAGAATTTGGTGGGGTTTTTTTTCCTGCCAAGAGTACTAATTTCTATCACATGGAAATACTATGCCAGTAGAAATAAATTGCATGCAAATAATCAGAGTACAAAAATCACAAGTGAAGTTACAGTCCACCTACAGGTTCTTTGGAGTCAAGAACACTCCTTAGAATTGAGCTCAAAAAATTCATAATGGATGAGTTCAAAATCTGCAGAAGTAATCCACCCAATAAATGGTTAATTGATCCATTACTAATGGAAACTTCGGAAACCTCTGAAGTCCAGTATATGACCTCCTTTTTAAAGACTTTTTAATAATTTCATGTATTATGTTCTAAGATTTTTATTAATTTTAACACAGTATTTAAATCTTACTCAGGACAATGTCTACATGGAGAAGGAAAAGGTATTTATTTTCATAGTGTAGCCATATCTTTCAAAAATATTCATCCTTCCAAACATGGAATAAGGCTGTGACATTTTTATGAGGACAATGCTAACTTCACTGATTTTTCTCTAGCAGTATACAAAGACTGTCAAAGGCGAAACATGAATATTTGGGCTGAACTAGCATCACATATGAGATATTCCTGCCAAAAATGTTCAACCTGAAGTTAATCCTGTCTTTCAATCTAATTTTCTGTTTAAAGAAATGTAAGAAGGCAAAGGAATGAGTTAAATGACAGCATGAAGAAGGAATGAGATAAATACAAAACATGAATATTGGGGCACCTGGGTGGCTCAGTCGTTAGGGGTCTGCCTTCAGCTCAGGTCATGATCCTGGGGTCCTGGCATCAAGCCCCGCATCGGGCTCCCTGCTCCGCGGGAAGCCTGCTTCTCCCTCTCCCACTCCCCCTGCTTGCATTCCCTCTCTGTCAAATAAATAAAATCTTTTAAAAAAAAATGAATATTCAACAAGATATGAGATGGTCTCATTGTTTCCAGGCTTATCAAAACCAACTTTGAAAGTATTTTTCAGGGCACCTGGGTGGTGCAGCTTGTAAAGCGTCCCGACTCTTGGTTTTGGCTCAGGTTGTGATCTCAGGGTTGTGAGATCAAGCCCTGTGTGGGCTCTGCGCTCCGGACAGTCTGCTGGAGATTCCCTCTCCCTCTCCCTTTGTCCCTCCCACTTGTGCTCACTCTCATTCTTTCTCTCTCTCAAATAAATAATCTTTCTTTAAAAAGAAATTTTCAGGAAGTTTAGGAAATTGAACTTGAAATGAGATGATTATATGCATTTTTCTAATTTTGTGAAGTATATTAGTGGTTATATAGTGTTTAATTTTTGTAGATTCTAGTTCAAGTATGACAGTCAAGTGTCATATATCTTGAAAGAGGAGAGACAGAGAGATGAAGCAAAGATGGCAAGAAGTTAACACTTGTCAAATTTGGGTTGTGGGTGAATAGGATAGGATGTGGCGTTATTGGACCAGTATTTCTACATTTTGAGATTTAAAACATTTTTGATAAGTTCTTTTAAAATTCTAGTGGGTGATGATTATAAATGTACCCTCCATCAATATAACAGCTAAAATATTCAAACTGAATTGCTTCAAGAGCTATTGCAGAGAATGAAAAGAGTATGTGAACTCTGCTAGCTCCCATGGAAATGTTATTCGCTATTTTTAAACAGAATACAGCCTCGAAGTGGCCAAGACAGCCCCAGACATATTTCAAGGAAATATAGCAAATCTCTTGGACCTAATGTCCATGTCCTTATGCTAGGAACTCAACAGAATGCAAAGATACTGACAATCAGAAGTCTAGCTCCCTAAAGCCACTCTATGTTTACAAAAAAGCATAGTCTTGAAAAGAGATCCTCAAAAAATTTCCCTAATTTTTCGTCATAGAATTTTATTCCTCAGCCCTCCCAATTAATAGAATCTTAATCAAAATGTCCCCAGTAGAGTGCAATCATTTACTCATTTAAAATCTATTTTTTTTCCTAACACTGAAGTTGGCTTAAAGTAAATCAGAATGACTCCACAAGATCCAAATGGAGTAATTATTTGGAGAATGGCTAGTTCTATTTAATAAAATATTACTTTGTTTTTCAGGAGCTGCCATATGAGTTCTTTAGTTAATTTAATCAATTTGCCAGAAATATTATCCTTTTCTGTAATATGTCTTATTCTGCAATATTTGTAAAATATTGTATTTAGAACTCCAAATCAACTAACCTATGGAATTTGTGAATATAAAAAAGCAATAAAAATAGCATAATACTAAATGATGGATTTTCATTTACTAAATATGGAAAAATAGATATTGTGAACCATACCAATAAGCTCTTTTTTCATTCTCCATTGTTTAAGAAAATTCTTGTATAAAATGGCCTGAGTTTGTTGATACACGCTTATCTCTTTTTTAATCATTTTCTCCTGTTCGTGGAGAGAAAGGGTAAAGTAAATATTGTACAGCTAGAAGAAAAAAAAGACCAAAAAAGTCCAGTTACAAAAAAGCTTCTGAACACTTTGAAAACATAGCTTCAGATGCACTAACATGATGCCTTATTTGACATTACAGAAACACATTCAGTAGGGGTTCTTGTGAGAGTATAAAGTATTAATGAATGTAAACTATCCTGTCTGCGAGTATTTCTCTCCAGGCCCTCACGGCTATGGATGATGAGGGTGGTAGTGTAAGGAGGTCTTTCCTCTCTTGTCTCAAAAGTAACTTTTTTCTGCCAAATTTTGACATTACAACAATCTAAAATAAATCAGGGAATAAGATGTTAGCAATATTTGAAATTCAAAAAACACTTTGCCCTTTATGTATTTTAAGTAAAGAAGTATAACAGGGGCACCTGGGTAGCTCAGTCAGGTAAGCATCTGCCTTTGGCTCAGGTCATTATCTTGGGGTCCTGGAATCGAGTACAACATCGGGCTTCTTGCTCAGAGGGGGTCTGCTTGTCCCTCTCCCTCTGCCCACCCATGCCTGCCCCCCCTTCCCAGCTTCTTTCTCCCTCAAATAAATAAATAAAGTCCTTTAAAAAAAAAAGAAAGTATAACAGGAATGAAACCATATCCAGTTTTTTTTGTCAGAGAATTGCCCATGAGCAGTCTATACTTTGAATGGCACATTTTTGCATGCTTATTTAATATGTAGGTAACCACTTGAGTAAAGCAAAGTTGAATAACATCATAGTCATTCTTAGAATCCCAAAGAGCTAATTTCTTCTCTTACATCCATGGGTTCCCCTTTTTTGAACTAAGAATGTAAGACAGATATAGATGAAAACCAAACATGTTAGTGGATATGACTGAGGTAATTGATTTGCAGATCGCCATGATGTGTAACAAGGATCCTTCTGTTTTCAGTTTGAAATTCCAGAGATGATTTGGTATCACAACTCTGGTTACTCAAATTCATTTGAATAAATGTTGATGTCATATACAAATTACAATGTTCAGAGAACTTGCTCTACTTTCTTTTTTTGACAAAAGAAAAGGTAAAGTGACCAAATATCAAAATAATCTCTAAATTCTAACTTGAGAAAGTTTCTAAGTCAAAACATTCATCTTCACCTTATGGCTATACAGGTATGTTTGAATAGCTCAGTAAGCTACCCACAAAGACATTTTAAAAGAAAAAAGAAGCCACAGGAAAAAGTAACATGTCCTAGTGCCTACACATTCCCAAGAACTAAAACCTTGCAAATTCTCAAAAGGCCACCCAGAGATGTATAAAGCTGACCAAAAGAAACTAATTATATTTGTACACACTTCTGAGTCTCTCTTACATTTTACTACCACACTAAAATACTATATAACTGATTTTAAAAGATTAAATCACTCATTAGGTCTACAATATAAAACATACAATAATTTAGAAATATCAGATCAATATAATAATTTTAACAATATCAATCAATGTGTTTGGCATTGGCTACATGCATACTTTATGCCTTACTCACCTTACGCAAAGTGGAAGGTAAACACAAATTTGACTCTCAGGAAAATGAGTGAGGAACTTAGAAGCACCTCTGATTCACTGTTCTCTTTTTTTTCTAGAACAGCTAAGATTCTTTCAAGGGCTCTTCTGCAAATGCCTGTCTCTCTTAAAACTGTTTTTATTCAGTTGGCATCTGAAAACAGGACATGGTCTGTGTGTAAAAAGCCTGCCAAATGTTCTTTGTTAAGTTGGTGTTTGGTTTTTTTTTCCCCATGTCTTTCTTGTCCAATTACTCTGCAGGGACCGTGTAGTTGTGGACGGTTGGCTAAGCATGGCACGTGGTACTTATTGTTCTGTCTTTCTGGCATTCATAAAAAGTGATCAGATTCTAAAAGGATGAAAAAACCCCACGGTGTTGGGTAAGTCTTTATTAGCTTTTAATGATTAAAAATTAGACAGCTGTGAATTGTGTAAGACTGTTGAATCACAGACCTGTACCTCTGAAACAAATAATACATTATATGTTAAAAAAAAAAAAGAAGATAGTAGGAAGGGAAAAATGAAGGGGGGCAATCGAAGGGGGAGACGAATCATGAGAGACGATGGACTCTGAGAAACAAATGAGCGTTCTAGAGGGGAGAGGGGTGGGAGGATGGGTTAGCCTGGTGATGGGTATTGAGGAGGGCACGTTCTGCATGGAGCACTGGGTGTTATACGCAAACAATGAATCATGGAACACTACATCAAAAACTAATGATGTAATGTATGGTGATTAACATAACATAATAAAAAAAAATTAGACAGCCAAGTAAAAAAAAGGACAGATTAAAAATAAAGGGAGTTGAGCAGAGAGGGAAAATGAGGCTCAATCATCTCAGAAATCACAGTAATTCACATGAGAAGCCTTTACCTAAAACTTAACTGCACTTCCATTAGGTGGCTCCTGTGCTGACAGAATCCTGTGTGTACAAAGTATGAATTTCCTCGTTTACTCCTGAAAGCAAACCTATGTAGTCAGTACCACAGTCACAACCGTGTTACAGATTCGAAAAGTGAGGCTTACAGGCGCAAGTTACCTGCAGATGTTCAATAAAGGACCCACATGTGAGTCCAGAACAGTGTTTGGACCCCAAGCCCCTCGCTCTCAACAACCGCTATGAAAATTATGCTAATCAAAACAGTATCTAATTCCCATTTTCATAGTTTAATAGTTTAGACAAGATGGTGGAACTTTAATGATTGTGTTACTTCTTTTCTTCAGCTGCAAATAAATGGGACATTCTCAGAACTGTAAATAATCCCTGCTTATCAATCCTGAAAATCTCATTCCATGATTTTTTACTGTCATCAATACATTTCCTAGATGTATACATGAGCTAATAACCATTCACGAAAGAGAACAGACAAACCAGTGAAGCAAGCACCTGAGATGATTTCAATGATTATCATTTTCATTAAGAAAATGGAT